AGGACACGGGCAACAAGCTGCACGACCTCGCGTACATCGAGGACCATCCCTCGGAGAACTCGTCAGGAGCAATCGAGGAGGCGAAGAAGGAGGTCTTAGATCAGATCATAGACCTCGAGCGTACGAGGCAGGAGATATCGGAGCGCAAGGAGGAGCTCGCCAGGAAGCACGCAATTAAACATGGACGAGCAAGTTCGGCAGCAGTTCGACTTACTGAGGCAGGAGTTCGCAGCCCGCATGAGTCAGACCGTCGACGAGATGAGGAGGCTCGAGAACGAGAATCAGCGGCTTCAGCAACAAGTAGCCGGAGGACTCGCGGCGATTCCGCAGGCGATCGAGCGCATGGGCGAGCAGATCCGAGGAGCTACGCACGCGGGAGGAGCCGCACCAGGTCTCGTCGACACGAAGGGGATCGGCAAGCCCACGACGCTAGGCGACGATCAGGAGAAGTTCGGAGCTTGGAACCGCAAGATGGAGAACTACGTGATAGGCGTGTACGGAGAGAGCTTCCGTCCTGTTCTCCGGTGGGCGGCAGAAGCCGAACGCCCCGTGACGATCGAAGGGGCACAGGAGGCGCGCGGAGGAGTACCAGAGCTGGTGACCAAGATCAACCAGCTGTACGCGGCGCTGATCAGCACGACGGCGGACGGCAGCGAGAGCAACGACCTCGTGACGGGCGCACCCGACGGGAACGGTCTCGAGGCCTGGCGGAAGCTTCACCGCAGGTGGGACCCGACGACAGGTCCGAGGAAGAGGCTGATCCTGAGGTCGATCATCTCGCCTCCGAAGTGCAACGCGGAAGAGCTGGGGTCCGCCTTAGAGAAATGGATCCAGCAGATAGGCAAGTACGAACGCCGCCAAGGAGAGGACGGGCTGGCCGAGCTGCCGGAGGATATCAAGATGGCGGCCCTCGAGATGCTCGTGCCTCAGGACATCGAGAACCACCTCGTACTCAACAAGCATCGGCTCGTAAGGTTCCAGGACAGTCTGAACGAGGTGATGACGATCGTGGAGGCTCGGACAGGCGTGAAGATCAAGGAGCCATCGATCCGCGCACGGGCGCATCATCCGGACGACATGGACGTCGGATCGTTCGGAGCCCCGAAAGGAAAAAAAGGGACAGCAAGGTAAGGGGCAATGCGGCCAGGCAAAGGGAATGGCAGAAGAACCAGGGACGAAGGGAGGGAAGAGCAAATCGATCGAGCGGATTCAGTACTCAGGTCCCGTCACATCCCCGGCGGGTTGGGCCGTGGTTCAGGCGCAGCCCACCCCGAAGCGCACCGGCGTGGCTTCGACCGGCAACTGTCGGAACGCGAGGAGATGGGGCCACAAGGCATTCCGGAATGCGGGGGAAAGAGCGGGATCGAGTACGAGGGCTGGAAACTGGATCGCAACGGGGGCAAGCGCTGGTGGTAAAGGCCTGGTAGGCCGCGGCTGTATCCAGCGAAGGTGCAGGCAGCCTGGAGGAGGGCCTGAAGGGAGGTCGCCGCCTGGATGCTGTCAATGAGTTGTTGCGTTGTACGTGGGTACATTGGTAGCAAGGGTATTTGATGCTTGGTTGTGGTTTGTGTGCCGAGTTTTGTGCGTGTGAGAAATGGGCAGCTTGGATTGCCTGGAGCTCGCCGGCGGCAGCGGCCGCGGCGTAGCAGCGGTCGACCTCTCTCCCTTCGCGCAGGACGACTGGATGAAGTTCAACTGGGACAGCGGTGCAGCGGTCTCAGCATTCCCTCGGAGCTTTGCGCCGCCGACGGGATTGAAGGGCAACGGCAGCACGTATCGCACGGCCAGTGGTGAGCTTGTCCCGGACGAGGGCAGCTTGCAGCTCAAGGCGGAGGATGAGTACGGAGTGCTACGAGCGCTCAAGGGACGCGTGACGAACGTGCACAAGCCGTTGATCTCGGTGGGGCAGGCAGCAGGAGCTGGACAGTGTTCGTTCCTAGGCCGCAATGGCGGCTGGATATTCCACGAGAAGAGCCCAATCGGCAAGCGTGTGGTAGGCATGCTGGAGAAGGAGGCGAAGACGGCGAAGCACCAGATGCTGCCGGTCTATCGTGAGCAGGGAGTTTACAACTTCTACCTCAAGAAGGGCCAACATGGCTCGGTTGCTCCTCTCGAGGAGGGATTTTCGGCGAAGTCGAAGTCCGAACTGGTGGAGCTACTCAGCGGCAAGTCGAAGGAGGAGCTGCTGGAGATCCTCGAGAGGACAGTCCCCAGGAGGCAGCCCTCGGCGTAAGTCCACTGGAAGACTCAATACAGCAGTCCCCTGCGGCATCGGCTGCAGGGGCAGCAGCGGCGGGGTCGGGGCCTTCCGACATGAGACCGCCGGGTTTTCAGCCAGCAGCAGCTGCGGCGGCTGACGCTTTGCCAGCTGCTCCTGATGGACAGCAGGCCGACGAGGGCGAGGAGGAGGCTCGCCCGAGGGTGCTGAAGGCACCTCATGAGCCCTCTCAGAAGGAGATCGCCGAGCACGAGGCGATGGGACACGCGACTTACCGCAGCTGGTGTCGCGTGTGCATTGCGGCAAAGGGCCAAGGCCAGCCGCATCTCCGCGCACCGGAGGACGACGAGACGGCGGTGCCGGTGGTCTCGTCCGACTACGCCTTCATGGGCCAGGACGACGCGGACACCATGCCGATGCTGGTACTTAGGGATCGGCGCTCGAAGATGATGGCGGCGACATTCGTGGAGAAGAAGGGCGACGACGCCTACGCCATCAAGTTCTTCGCACGCTTCTTACGGATCCTGGGCTACAGGAAGATCGTCAACAAGTCCGACGGCGAGCCAGCGATCCTGCTGGTCAAGAGGCGTGCGGTGGAGGAGGTTCCTGGCCTCGAGGCCATTCCCCAGGAGTCGGCTCCGGCCGATCATCAGGCCAATGGGGAGATCGAGGTCACGGTGCGCGAGATCAAGAAGCAGGTGCGAGCGCTCAAGATGGACCTGGAGTCCAAGCTGGGCGTCATGGTGGAGGACAAGCACCCAGTGCTAGCGCACCTGCCGGAGCACGCCGCATCGGTGATCAACCGATACAGGCGCGGCCAGGACGGCAAGACCGCTCTTCAGCGGCTCACGGGACGGCAGTGGAGGAAGCCGGTCCCGCTCTTCGGCGAGCGCCTGATGGTGCGGTTCGCCGGGGAGCGCACGAGGAAGAACGCGCTGGAGGAGCAGATGGTGGAGGCCCGCTACATCGGCCACCACCCGCGCGACGGCTCGATGATGGTCATCACGAGCGACGGTGTGAAGGAGGCGGTCGGCTTTCGCAGCCTGCCGCAGAGCGAGAAGTGGATCACGGCGGGCTGGGACAGCCTGAAGGGCCTGCCGTGGGACGTGGCTCCGCGTGCGGCCAGTGCGCCGCGAACCATCGTCGGACCGGGAGTGGCCGGTCCGCCACCGATTGTGGTGGTGCCGCCGCAGCCGCAGGCGCCGAGGAGGATGTGCGTTCTCAAGGCGGACGTCGAGCGGCTGGGCGCAACGCCGGGATGCCCAGGGTGCGTCTCGATCGCCAAGCACGGCAAGGTGCTGGCTGGCCATGCGCACAACGCGGTGTGCAGCAAAAGAATCTTCGAAGCGCTGGACGCTGAGGAGGCAGGCCGGGAGAGGACCGGCCAGTATCGAGAGCGGAGGCAGGGCCAGGAGGCCAGAGTCCGCCCAGTGGCAGCGGCCGCGGCAGGGACCCCTCCGCCGAAGACGGCTCGGAGGATCACCGAGCCGGTGGCAGCGGCGGCGTCGGCGCCGGCCGCGAGCCGATCGGCAGCAGCGCCAGCAGCAGCGGCGCGCATGCGAGAGAGCCAGCCGGGAGCATCAGGCTCCGGCGTGGCGGCTCCTTCAGGAGGAGCGAGCTCCAGTTCGGGAGCAGTGAGAGCGGCAGAGGCCGCCGAGGATGTCGACATGACCGCGACCAGGTCGCGGCGGAAGCGCTTGGCGGAGGTGGCCCCGGATGACGTGCCGGAGGCCCTCGAGCGCGGTGATCCACAGCCGGCAGACGTGCCGGTGCCGGTGGACATGGAGGATCTCGCGGCGCAGCCGGCGCCAGCGGAAGGACCTCAGCTGCCAGCTGGAGTGGCAGTCGTGTGGAACGCCAGTGAGGGGAGACACATGCGGGTGCTCGCTCTCGACGTGGCGTCGATCGAGCTGGTCGAGCTCGGAGTGCTGACGAAGGCGAAGGCGGAGTTGCTCCCGCTCGTTCGCGAACAGGTCAGCGGCCATTGGGCCAGTGTCGGCGTGGACATCGCCGACGAGGAGGTGGACAGCATCGCCTTATCGGCGATGCAGCTGGGCGCCGTGGACGCGGCAGAGGTGCACTCGCCACATCGGTTCTCGGCTCGGGCGGCGGAGTTTCAGCTGCGCCCGGGCTTCGCGGCGGACCTGGAGGAACTCAAGGAGGACGGGACGCCGTGGGACTTGCGGCGACCCGAGGACATCAAGGAGCTCGAGGAGCTGCAGGAGCGGATGGATCCCATCCTGCTTACGGGGTCCCCTCCATGCGAGAAGTTCAGCTTGCAGAGGGGCCTGAGCGCCAAGTTCAGGACCGATGAGCAGGAGGCGGCTGAGATGGAGGAGGCCAGACACCACCTGAAGGTGGCAGTCGACGCCTACTGGCGTCAGCTCAGGAAACCAGGCAGGTATTTCCTGCATGAGCATCCCTGGAGCGCGCGATCGTGGGATGAGGACATCGTCAAGGAGCTGGTCGCGCATCCAGGAGTCTTCACGGTCAAAGGCCCCATGTGTCGGTGGGGCATGAAGCTCACGAACCCACGCAGTGGCCAGGAGGAGTTCGTGCGCAAGGAGACCGGGTGGGTCACCAACCACCCAGGCTTAGCCCGGAGACTGCAGGGCACTTGCAGCAATGTGGACGGACGCGCGGAGTGGCATCGCCACATCACGCTCGTGGGCGGCCGATCGGCGGTTCGCACGGAAGGTGCTATCCGACGAGAACGTTGGTGGTGGGCGGTGATACGTAGTTTTTTGAGTTTTTTGGTTTTCGATTATTTGGTGCCTTGGTTTGGTGTTTGGATTTTTGTGTTTATTTTGCTTGGTGTTGGTTTGTTTTGGTAGGTGTGCTGTTGACGTTGTGGAGGAGCTCAAGGACACGCTGAATGACGTGGGGGAGCTCAGCACCGCCCAGGTGCAGCAGTCGGGCCCAGTCCCTCTGGACGCGGCGGTGCCGCCCGGGGACTGGACGAGCTACTGGGACGACGTCAACGGCGGCTACCTGGAGGCAGGCCTTGCGGCCCAGGCTCGCGCGGTCGAGCGCGAGTGGGTCAAGAAGCAGGAGCTGATCGAGATCGTCCCGAGGTCTCAGGCTTTCGCTGAGACTGGGCGTCCGCCCATCCCACTCAAGTGGGTCGACACGAACAAGGGCGACGCGGAGAGGCCCAACTACAGGAGCAGGCTCGTCGTGAAGGAGATCAAGGCGAAGAAGCGTCCTGACGAGCAGCTGGAGGCGTCCGAGGTTTTCTCGGCAATGCCTCCGCTGGAGGCCATGCGGTCGCTGGTCTCGCTGATGGTCACGTGGACGCGGGAAGCACCGCTCCACATTCAGGAGTCGCTTCGCAAGATGGGCAGGAAGCCGGGCAACTTCAAGATCGGCTTCTTCGACATCAGCAGGGCGCACTTCTACGGGAAGGCGCAGCGAAGGATCTTCGTGGAGCTGGAGGAGGAGAGTCGCAAGGAGTACGGCGAGGACAAGTGTGGCTTACTCCTCAAGTCCTGGTATGGCACGCAGGACGCCAGCAAGATCTGGCAGGGCGACTACACGGAGCTGTTGGAGGAACACGGCTACAGGGCGGGCGTGTCATGCCCAGCGGTCTTCTACAAGGAGGTGGACGAGACAAGGCTGCTGGGGCACGGCGACGACTTCGCGGTGCTGGCTCAGCAGCAGGACATCGACAGCTTCGAAGCCACGTTGGGCAAGAAGTACGAGTTCAAGAAGACTGCGAACCTCGGCTTCGACGAGGGCGACGACAAGCAGGCGGTCTTCCTGAATCGGGTCATCGAGGTCAGTGCGGGAGTTCCGCCTGGCGGTGGCCGGCCCTGCCGGCATGCGATGATCGAGCCGGACAAGCGGCACGCAGAGATCGTGATCGACGAGCTGGGTCTCAGCAAGGCCAACGGCGTGGACACGCCGATGGAGAAGCGCAGCGCCGACAAGCAGATGATGGACGCGAAGTCAGCGGCGTTGGGAACGGCGGAAGCTTCGCGCTTCCGATCCCTCACCATGAGGGTAGCCTACCTGTCTCAGGACAGGCTGGACTTGGCGGAAGCATCGAAGACGCTCGCCAGGTCTATGCAGACGCCGACGGAGGCGAGTTGGCTCATGCTCAAGAGGGTTGGCCGCTACCTTAAGCGGCATCCCAGTACGGTGACGGTCTTCACGGAGCAGAAGATGTTCGACAAGATCCGAGTGTACGTGGACTCCGATCATGCGGGCTGTGCAGTCACTCGGAAAAGTACGGGAGGCTTCGTGGCGATGCTGGGGCATCACGTCATCAAGCACGGCAGCAATCTGCAGTCGACGGTCTCTCTGAGCAGTGGGGAGAGCGAGTACTACGCCCTGGTCAAGGGCGGGAGCGTGGGACTGGGTCTACACAGCCTCTTCGCAGACTGGGGGCTGGACCTGAAGGTGGAGCTCGCCTCAGACTCATCGGCGGCCCGGGGCCACGTCCAACGGCGAGGTCTCGGGAAGATGCGACATGTTCAGTCACGATACCTGTGGATCCAGGAGCGCGTGGGCAAGGGCGACCTTTCGATCGCCGCAGTTCCTGGTAAGAACAACGTCGCGGACGTGCTGACTAAGAGCGTGGGCGGATCTCTCTTGAGGAGACATATGGCGACGCTCAACATCTGGGATCGGGCACCGAGTTCGACCCAGAAGGACATCAAGTGAAGGAGTGGATCGAATCCATGCTCCGCTACCTGTGGGGCTGGATGAGTTTCCGCCGGTGGCGGTATGATCGCACCGGACGGGTGAAGTGAGGGGCTCGCGGCATGGCCGCAGCCCGGCTGACGAAGTGGGCGCGTCGGCTTGGACGCGCCCGCGCGTGACGAGATGGGCGCGTCGGCTGGGACGCGCCCGCGCGTGACGTTGAGATGGGCGTGTCGGCTTGGACGCGCCCGCGTACGACGCATGTCGTGCCTGGCCGGGTTGGCGGCCAGGCCCGAGGAGGAGTGATTCTGACACCCTCCTCCGTGTACCTATTTTGGCTCAAGATGAAAAGAGATCTTGTTGCTAATCAACGCATTATCTCATCACTCGCACTCGAAGGTCACCGCGGGGGTCGACGACTACATCCTCACGGACGCTACGGTCTCCTTGTCAGCAACGGTGCGACGGATCCCGTGAGTGCTGAGCAGACGCGACGTGCCAGTGAGGATGATGCGCGGACGCTGCCAGTGAGCTGCAACCCACGTTGTGAGAGGGCTCGGTCGTTCACGAGTGCGCGGGAGGCGCTCTCAGAGGGGACGTTCGGCGACTTCCAGGTGCAAGGACCTCTGACGACGGGGCGTTTGTTGGAAATTTTCCACCAAGCTGACCAGATCCCCGTTGCGAGACACCGCTGGCGGCGGCAGATGCTGGGTGCGACCGCAGCTGGCCCTGGCATAGATGAGCACCTCTTTCTCTCGGGGCTTTTTTTCAGAATGGTTTGCCCATGCGACCCGCTGAACCTGCCGAGCGGTGCTGCATTCGAGGCGGCCGCCCGAAGGCACCAGCTTTGGGAGGAACGCTAAGGAGAGCAAGATCCTGAAGGAGCGCCGCAAGGGCCGCGAGGAGCGGAACCTAGTGGAAGTGGCGGCTACAGGGGTCTCCCCGAGCTCAGCCGCCAGAGCGGGTGGAGCCCATGTCCGACATGGCATGTCGCGCCTGACCATGCCGCGCCGAAGCGGGCGCTTGAGGCCAAGGCGAAAACAGAGCCGGCGACCTGAGTCCTCCCGTCAGTGCCCATTTCGGCCGCCGAGCGCGCAACCCCCATCGCGTGCTTGACACTTGTTTCGTGGGAGGCCATCGGTTTACCATGGCTGCGCTGTCGCGCGGACATCTCCCCCCCTTTCCCTGCGCCCCTCCGGCACTTGGTCTGCGTTCCACGGGCACCAATGCGCGCTGGCTGCAGGAAGGGATTCGAGCGCTCAGCTCGATCGGCGGTCGCGGAAATTGCGCGCCCAGCAGGCCCCAGTCAATGTTGTAGGCGCATGCCCAATCGAGGCTGGCCAAGGTGCACGCTGAGATCCCTGAGAAGCCGAGCGGCGTAACCGTCCAGGGTGCGCTCAAGGTCACTCTGGGAGGAGACCCTTGCAATGGCGATGACCTGGCCAGCGGTGGCCACGACCTCTACCAGCGAGGCCGCGTTTCTCTGCCTCGCGTCGCCACGGGCGCGACGCGTCTCGGGGGCGCGCTGCCTGCCGACGACCGCTCTCTGCTGGTAGGGAATCCGCTGGACTTCGGGCGAGCGCCGCTATTGCGCCCGAGAGCTTCTCGGGCAGACTTGCTTTCGATCCCCCTCTGGCCAAAGGCGGAAAGGCGCATGGCAGATCTTCATCAGACCTCCGGGCTCGCGGGATGCTCGAGGGGGGGGGCGCCGCGAAGATGGTGGCTCCTCTTTTTACGAGGAGGAAAGACGGCGCCTTGCGTTTTTTTTTTAGTTGCGTCCTCATCTGTTGACACTCGAGACCTATGGCCGAACACCTCGTTTGCCCCCCCCCCCCCCCCCCTCTGCTCACCTTTTTAGCCGCCGCGCAGGCGCTGAGCTAGCTCGAAATGCAGGAGGGTTGCTGTTTGCGCTGTGCCCAGGGAGACGTCGCCTGCTACTTATACCAGTGTCTGCTGCCAGAGTCCCCTGCGAAGCTGGCTCGGACTTCCACCCGCGCATTGGTCCGACCTGCCCGCCCGGGCAAGACGGGGCCTTTGCGCGCCCGGTTTTTTTGGGACGGTCAGGCTTCGGCCCCCGGTCGCGCCCATGGATTGGTCGCGGGCAGGGTACTTCGCCCAGTCTGCAGCGAGGAACATCCTGACCCCCGCTGTGCCCAAGGACCCCTTCCTGGCCCAGCGCGGGCCCCTGGGCCCGATCTCTCAAGCTGGCGCCGTCAGTGCAGTCTACGTTGGTAATTTCGCGTCTCTGTCTGTTTCGGTCGAGCGGTCGCAGGAAGGACTTGCCTCCACGCTCGCGGTTGTAAAAAAGGCTGGCCTCGACGCTGGCGCGGAACCCGACGGCGCCCCCTCACTTGGGATATTGCATCGGTCCCTCAGGTATTTCGCGGGCCCCTTCGGCCGCGAAGCTGCGGGGGATTGTCTTGGCTTCGAAGGCGGTTTATCAGGGTAGGGTTTGGCGGGCTGCACGACGGATTGCACGCTTGGCAGGTCGCGTCTTGGAATTTGTTCAGCTACGCCCCGAATTACGTTCGATGCTTCCGTTGTGTAGACCTTGAGCACGCGTTTTCGGGATCGACCTGCGTGGGTCTGGATCTCGGTCAGGCGCGAATGCTGGCTCGCTTGGGCCCCCTCCCCACGGCTGTCACTCGGTTGGATCTCAGGTGGAGCTCCAAGGTGACTTCGGTCGACGCTTCCCTCCGCAGTTTCGGAGTCACGGCTTGCGACGTTGATCGGGAGCTCGCGGGCAAGGTCGGGCGCGTCAGCGAGAGGCGCCGTTTCAAAGGCGAGTTCAGCGAGGTCCCCGCCTAGCTCGCTAGGGGTGCCCCATGGGTGGCCATCGCTGCTCGCAGGTGGAGGAGGAACCAGAAGACTCTGAACTTCGAGGCGGAGGCGGCCCTGCGGGCTGCGCATCGGGTCAGCCGGGACAGACGACTCGGTGATCATCGCCATCTCCTGCTCAGTGATTCAATGGCTTGGGTCTGCTCTGCCACGAAGGGTCGAGGGAGTCTCTGGTTTATTGAATCGCTTCGCTCATTCCGCCGGCCCGTGATATGGCATCGCTGGTTTTTGTCTGTGTGTTCGTTGCCCATGTTGCGCTCTTGGGGGCGGGTGTCGTTCGGACGCGTTGCGTGGGGAGTTTTGATGGTGAAGCAGTTCCCTGGGGGTCGTCTCTCGATGGGGCGAAATAGAGTCGTCGTCAAGATGCTTCTTTGGGGGGCCTCTTGGGGTCTGTTGAGAGGCCGTTCGGGGGCGCCTGGGAGACATGTTTGAAGCCTTCTGGGGCTTCTTTTGGGCCTCCTGGGAGTCTCCTGGGGCATCTTGGCGACATCTTGGGGCCTCTTGGAGGCCTCTTGGGGCCTCTTTGGGACCTCCTGGGCGCCTTCTGGGACGGAGGGCTCCATTTTTGAGTTGTCGGTATCCCTCCTGAGTCCCTCTTGGGCCCGTCTTGGGGCCTCTTGGTCCGTCTTGGGCGGCACTTGGGCCGTCTTGAGGGCTCTCTTGGGTCGTTTCGGCGCCGTCTTGGGAGCTTCGTGGGCCGTCTTGGAGCGGTCTTGGGGGCCTCTTGGGCCGTCTTGGAGCGTCCGGAAGCCGAAAAAGCCAGAACACAAAAAACATAGAAAAAACCAATGAAAATCAACGATTTTGGCCTCTTGGGGCTCTCTTCGGAGGCCTCTTGGAAGGCTCTTGGGGCGTCTTGGAGGCCTCTTGGGCTGTCTTGGGGGCCTTTTGGGCCGTCTTGGGGTCATCTTCGGCGTCTTCGAGCGCTCTTTGGGCGTCTCGGGGGCCTCTTGGGCAGTCTTGGGGGCCTCTTGGGGCACTCTGAGCGCGCTCTGGGGAGCCTGAGAGGCCGCACCCAGAAGGAAAACCATCTCTGAGTAGACTTGGTCGGGCGGCGGTCGGGCGGCGGTCGGGCGGCGACCGGGCGTTGGTCGGGGTACTTTTCGCCGGGGGACCCCCAGGGGCCGCCCCGCGCGCGCGAACTAGAAATACTGTTAATACTGTTAACCAGTTACCGGAGATCTTAGCACGCCCTGGCCCGTTGGGCCGGCGAATTCTTCGTCGATGTCGTGAACTGCGTGCTCTCGCAATCGCCTCTGGATGTCGCATCATTTGCCGCTGGGCCCCTTCGGGGTGGAACGGCGCTAACGCTCCTAGCCAGCGCTGCGACCCTGAGAGTGAACATTTTGCGAGGCATTTTCACGACCGCAACCCTCCTGGCTCAATTCCACCCACCCGTTCTGCGAGCACGACCGCGCCTTGCGAAGGCGACGCCCTACCGAGCGTGGGCCATGGACTGCCGCATCCTGCGGGGCTCCGGTGTCTCGCGGCCGTTGCCCCGTTCGCGCGCGGCCCCCTTGGGCGCCGGCAGCGGGCTGACTCAGCTGACGCTGGAGACGAGTTGCTGGCTTCTCCCGAAGGTTGTGAGCCCCGAGACGATCGCGGCGCGGCACTTGGAGACCGCGGGCTCGGGCCCGCAGAATCTGTCCGCAAGTGCCCGCCAGTCAGCGCGGACCCCGGCCACGGCCTCGAGTGCCTCGCGACCTCCTCCGGCCCCGAGCCTGAGCCAGCCCCTGAGTCCGGCGGGGCTGCAGCCGTTTTCGGCCGACGCCAGGCCCACTCGGCGGGCCGGCGCTCGCCGCAGGCAGGCGCGACGATAAGTCAACAGGCAGCCGACGTCGAGCCTGGCCAGGTCTGCCCTTCGGTCAGCAGCGACCTTGACGGACTTGGGCTTCAGGGCGACGCCGCCGGGGGCGGGGTCAGCGTCGCTGGCAACCCAGGCCAACTACTCGGAGGCTGCCGAGTGGGACGTGCTGACGACCAACTACGCGGTGCACCTGTACAACGAGGGCGCGGCTGAGAGCGCGGCAGGAACGACCCCGGCTGCCCTCCGCTGGGCCGAGCCAGCGATTCCGCGGCCCCTGAGGCGAGGGCCCCCCC